CTGCTTAATATTTATGTGCAAACCATGACACTTTTTTCAGAATTCTTTGATGAATAGAAAGTTCAAGTTAAAAAAAAAAAAAGTTTAAAAAAAAAATCTTTTTTAACATTATTTTTGTCAATTTTGATTAATTGAATGTAACTTTGCTGAATAAGAGTATTAATGTATGAAAAAATCCTAATCAGACCATGCCTATAAATAATGCTACATGATAAAAAGAAGGCTTCAAATAGACCCTATGATCAATGACTGGTACTTTTTCCAGTGATCAGAGCACTCTTACACAAGACATCCAAAAAAACAGTAATAGCATTAGCACTTTGTATTCAAGATTAAAGATAATAAGTAAATTTCAGCATGTTTATCACAAAAGCAATCATATAATTTCAGGATATTTGGAATATATTGCTACTTTGAGGGTGTTTTTGGTCTTTTTTGAAGTTGAGGAAGAGTAAATAATGACAGAATTGTCATTTTTGGGTGTATCGTTTATTTAAGAATACCTACAGTCATGGCTGGGAGTGTATATAGGCTCCAAATAAATTCAAACAAATGCACACGTAGGACTTTCTCTTTATGGTTGGCACAGTCACCATAGCAGTGAACTTGGCCTTATCTCACCACACCCCTCTGACGCAAACTCTGCTGTTACTTCCCATAGCCCTCCCCACCCTAAAACACACGCTCACACACTCTCACACAACAGTCCTAACATGCTCATTGCTTTCCCTCCAGTTCTTGTACTCAAAAAGAAAGGTCTGCCCTGCATACGTGCAGAAATGAAGTTTCTTCACAGGATGCTTGGCTGAAATGTAGCTTTGCTAATGTAATGCAAACCTCAATGTTTCACCTCGTCTCAAACCATTTAATGTCCGTGAAGCAGATGAGCACCCAGACAGGAAGGAAGAAGTTTCTCTCTTTCTGAAAGCCAGCGCATCTCTGCTGCAGAGCTGCACCGAGAGAAAAACGGCAAGAGAGAGCTGGTGATGTCAAATTTAAAGGCATAGGGGCAAGATGCAGTTGTTCCAAAGAACATACCTGAGAGGATAGTCTATACTTTCCTGGAAGAATGTGCTCGAGACGGACACAATTTATGCCTCGCTCCTTACAATTAAGCTACAGTAAAAGGCTAATGCAAATGTCCAGCATTTGCATGCGTTTAGAGGGGGCTACAGGAACAAAGGTTCGCAACTTTTTTTCCAAATCACGTAATTTTCACATTCGGAGCAATGGCTTGCATGCCGTTTCCAACATCAATAGTCACACACACACATTGAGACACACCCTCCCCACCCTGAGCACTCCACCCCCGCTCCCTCGTTTCATTGCAGACAGTTTGGCAGAACTGCAGGGGTTGCTATGGGGACGGGATTCTTTCCCTGGTTAATGATTGTGCCGCAATGGTAGGGGGTCATTCTGTCACATCGCCTCTCAACTGGGGAGACATGGACAATATCCTTACAGTCCCATACCACACACACACACACAAACACACCCCAAAGCCCCCACTCATCCAAAATTTCACCTCTAACTTGGTTTACTTCCTTTAGGTCTGGGAGCTAAACCACATAATGCTGCATGTCTCCTTTAACCTCACGCTTATGGCGCTTTTCCACTGCGTGGTACGACTCGGCTCGGCACGGCTCAGTACGTCTCGGCACGGTTTGCGTTTCCACTGCAGTTCAGTACCGCTTTAGAGTGGGCGGGATTATTCACATGTCGTTATAGTTGCGACACTACCACGACTCCTAAAAAAAACGTGGTAGTAGCTACCTCTACTACCACGACTCCTAAAAAAACTTTTTCATTCCGCTTCGCCCCATCAAGCTCTCGCTGGATCCGCTCCTCTGCTATCAACGAGAGGAACGTCTGTTCTTCCACAACAGACAACAAAACTTTTTGGTTGTTAAAAAAAGGTGCGCTCGTTCAAAACAGTTGCGTTCGATCCTTCGCTGGCTGTGCTGATTTAAATCTAGCGATTCTTTTGTGTCTGTGTCGCAAGTTCAGTGACGCAGGTAGTGACGATTCTCTCCGGCCAATCCGTGATCAGCAGAGTTTACACGTCACGTTTTGGTAACGGTACGATTCACTTGGAACCCCAACCGAGGTGGTACTAAAAAAAGTACCAGGTACCAGGTACTGTACCCAGTGGAACCCCCCCAAAAAGTGAACCATACCGAGCCGTACCATGCAGTGGAAAAGCGCCATTAGTCTCATTTTCCCTCCATTTTCCTCTGCTCTCTCGGACAACCGAATCCTCCTCAGGCAGCTCTCAAAGTGAAAAAAGACCTTGATAATATCTGAGGTACATTCGTTTCTTCTGCCACCAGCAGCATACATATTCAGAATAAGGCCTAAACGGAAGGTCTCAGTGGCGCAATGTCTTAGTACCAGCCTGTCCAACTTCATATGGTTAACATTCTTGAGAATAGAGTAAAGAAAATGGGCTTTTAATAGGGAGCAATGGTCAACAAAGCATGTGATGTTGAGGCATTACACCATATTAATTTATCTCAAATATCTAATGAGGAAGTGTCCTACTTCATATGATACAGAATCAAGTTCATACAAAACAGAACACTGACTAATTTGTGTTGCACTTTTAGAGCTAAGCTTTAGGACAGGTTAAGGGTGTGACGCTAAAGTGCAGTCAATAACACAAGAGGCTATTTAAGACAGGGAGTGAGAGGAACTGCCACCCTGCAAAAACACAACCTCAGTCACACCCAGGGCCGACTGCACCCTTCTCCTAAAAATAACTGTACTCTAGGACAGTGGCAGTCTCTAACTGTCTCAACTCCTAAAAACAGATGCACTTTACATCACGCCCCCCCCCCCAGCTTGTTGGCTTGATTAGGCAGCCAGTGGATGCCTCAACCTATAAACACCCTTCTGAAGCGATGTCACCCTGACAAAACCAAAAGACTGAGACCTACAGAGGGTAGCTGAGTGTTTGACTAAAGTTTGTCCATAGATGTTAATGATTACAAGCTGTCTGGCACACCTAGAGCACTCTCTGTTCCTCCAATGATAATGCCTCAGTCCACTCACCTCCCTGACTCTGTCAATAACAACTCACGCAGGAGACTCTGCTCCCAAGAATGAGCTCAGTTGCAGAATATACCATATTAAAGGCAAAAACAGGTGGAAGATTACATTAATTAGATCTAACACAGGGGTCACCAAACTCGGTCCTGGAGGGCCAGTGTCCTGCAGAGTTCAGCTCCAACTCTAATCAAACACACCTGAACCAGCTAATCAAGGTCTTACTAGGTATACTTGAAACTTCCCGGCAGGTGTGTTGAGGCAAGTTGGAGCTAAACACTGCAGGACACCGGCCCTCCAGGACCGAGTTTAGAGACCCCTGGTCTAACAGGTAGTACTGTACAACAGAGGTAGAGTAGACTAAAACCGTGGTTCTCAATTCCAGTCCTCACGACCCCCTTTGAATGGAACATATACGCTCCCTTCGAACTAGAATCATGTCGGAATATCCTGTGATGTCCACTTCACAGGGTACTTGCGGTCGAATAGAACAAACATCTGAAGTGATAAGAGATACATACAAAATGTGCAGAGCAGGGGGTCGCGAGCACTGGAATTGGGAACCACTGGACTAAAAGATGCAATATACCTCAGTCAGGTTAGACGCCACATTGAATTTAACCTGGGTGAAATGAGGCCGTGAGGGATAGAAAGACATTTCATCAGCTAAACAATCAGTATAGTGTTTAAAAACAGTACAATCCATTGAATGCATTGTACGTCTATACCTTACAGGCTTGCTTTCATTTCTGTCAAAAATTAGACTAAGGTCTATATCTTAAAAATGCATCTTTGGAGGTATGGATCTAAATGGATACTTGGCCATTTTAATTAGTGATGGGACGATTGATACCGAGGTTCTGATGCTCCGACGCAGTTTTCAAAGCACTATTGTATCACACACTGTGCCGATGCTTGTATCGAAATGACAATACCACGTGATTGATGACGTTTGAAGCTTCGAACATCATGCAGTATCGGAAGGTGGTTTGAAAAAAATCGGCGCTTCGCATGACTGATATATATATATATATATAATGACCGTTGCTGTATAACTGACCTTTCATTCTGTTAAACATTTTCTGAAACCAACCAATCAAATCACAAAATAACCCCTTCAGATCGAAGACCCCTTTGCTATGTGCTGGGTGACTGATCATCTTGTTAGGTCTTATTTTGTGACCGTGACAAGCTGACCATACATATAAACACAAACCTATCTCTAGATGACAGTGTAACCCATTAAAAGTACTAGTACATACTTTTGTTTACACAGTTACAAATACACACTACATACACCCCCCCCTCCCTCCTCCTACTTGGCATCATGGGATGTTAATGATAGTTTTCAGTAGCCTACAGTCATAGTTGTGTACAACCTGCTACAGTCTCTTGTTAGACAATGTACTGCTGGCAACACTTTGATATTTAGACCTTTACCAACTGAAAGATGATGACAAAGGCAATAGCATATAGCATTATAGGGCAGCAACAACATAACAGAATTTTTTCATCCCATGCAAATGCAAGGCTGCTGCCCCTTTAAGAAAGCAGCTAAGATGGTGTCTCTCCAGCGAGCTGCATTCGGCGCGCTTCCTTCCTGCCTTCGCCGCTTTAAAACAGCAATGCAGATAAGCGTCGACTCTGACAGATGTGCCACACACTACTGACTTTGTCACGAGTTGCACAAGTATTTCAAATGCACCAGCGCTATCGTTAGGGGGCTTTTGGATAAGCACGGGCTAAGAGTCGCATGCACAGGAGTGAGGTAATCACACAGCAGCTCAGATATTATCGGCTCATTTCGGTTAACGGCGAGCAAACCGAAACCGGGTAACTACTCATAGATGAGGAACTCTGCAGAGTCCTGCAGAATGGAAATCGGACAGCGACAGCCGTCAAAAGCTACCGGCTACGTTGCAAACGAGTCGATAGCGAACGATAAACGGACTTACTTTTTTGTTCCGAGTCTCCGTGTGCATCTCGGTATCTAAGCGGCGGTGAAGGGGTGGAGCGGAGGGGGGGTCGATCGGATCGGGCGGGGTGATATTTGAATAACAGTGAGCTCGATGTCAGTTTTTCCACCTCAGTATTAGAGGAGAAAGATGCGCTCGTTGCCTCGGCGGATCACAGAAATCATATCCCCGGCGTCGAGAAATAAACCCTCTTTCCGTCGCCCCGGTCGTCTTTCAGTGTGTGTTTGTTTCCGTGTTTAAGGGTTGGGCTCGAGCTGTGAGTCTCTCCTCCGCCTCTCCCTGCTGCTGACCCCACCCTGCGTCCCCACCCCTTCACTGTGTCAATCACAGCCGGTGTGTGTGTGTGTGTGCAGCACGATGATAGAACCTCAGAATCATCATAGCACCCTGTGTCACCTTAACCTAATGACGTCAAGTTGCACCGGATGTTTGGAGCTGCTCAACTGTTGTGGTCTTTTTGCATGAGTTGATGATGCCCCATATGTGCCTTCATTGTTTGCCTTGACTTTTGGCTTGTAACTGGGTGTGGAAGGTTATTTAGCTATAGTTTGGAGACACAAATGCACCTAAAGTAAGCAAGAGCATACAAAAACTTTATTTAGGGCCCCATTCAAAAA